TGGAGGGAGCCACGACCTCTCTGAAGGGCAGATGAGGTTCGGGGGCTCTGAGACCCCTCGTAAGTTGGCTGCTGTCATCAGGGGAGAATGCAGTACAAGAAAGACTCTACAAGTGAAAGCAATTGAAAGCAAGGGCAAGTGAGGAACATTTAAGTGAATGTGGTATATGCTGAAAAATTGCCCCCAAGTGGGGGTGCTTTTGATGCTTCCAGAAATGTCCTCAAAAGCAATTTAACACAGCCCTGGAATATATAGGTAAAGGGACCCCTGACTGTTAGGTCCAGTCGCAGCCAACTCTGGGGTTGCGGCGCTCATCTCGCTTTATTGGTCGAGGGAGCCGGCGTGCAGCTTCCGGGTCATGTGGCCAGCATGACTAAGCCAATTCTGGAGAACCAGAGCAGCACACGGAAACGCTGTTTAGCTTCCCGCCTATTTATCTACTTGCACTCTGACGTGCTTTTGAACTGCTAGGTTGGCAGGAGCTGGGACCGAGCAATGGGAGCTCACCCCGTCGTGGGGATTCGAACCACCGACCTTCTGATCGGCAAGCCCTAGGCTCTGGAATATATATTCTGCAACAAAATACTTTTTGAAAAAATAAAGGGGAGGGCTAAATAGAGTAGAAATTCGCCTTGATTATTTGTGGGGATGGAAAAAGCTCTCTCACATAGACATATGTGCCTACGTCTGCCACTTCAATCACCCTTAACAGCAGGGCCCACGGCCAGCTTGGATGTCCACCCACACTTCCTGGACTAGTGCCGCACAATATCCCATCACTGACTTGCAGCCACGAGACACCGGAAGCTGGAGGAGCCTGGGAATAATCAGGTGGAGGAGTATACACACACGTATCTGAGCTACTTTGGGTAAAAAATGAATGAATCTCAGTGGTGGCGCAAGAGCTATTTTTCGCCCCTCTTTTAGTTGTGATCGCATTTGTTTTGCTGTAGAAAGTAAGGAAGCCTATTTATAGCATGAAAGCATTTGAAGTGCGGGTGGTGACTCCACCTCAACAGTGTTAATGTGGCTGAATCGCTCTGCTCATACCTGGAGGGAAGGAGAGTTGAAGGCTGCTAGGTGCTGTTCTCTGCAAAGAAATGGCCCTTAGCTCTCTGCAGTCTGGTCTGGCCAGTTCCAACCCGCAGACCAGTTTGGGAAGGGGCCGCCAGAGATCTACAGGTTTGGTGGGTCTGCACCTACCCAGCCAGTCTTGTTGAGTCCTTCTCCAGGTATGAGAAAACGCTGCCGATAATCCCATCTATTTCCAATGTTTAGGTGCTGGCATTGTGTTGCTCATGCAGCCATAAAACAGAAGCACTCACTGCTAGGGTTGCCAAACCTCCACAGCCAAGCTGAGGTCTCCCGGTTTGCCTGACCCTCTCCAAATGACAAGGGGAGGGCTTGCGTTTTCAGATGAGTGAGAGTGCCTTTAACTTAAAATATATGCATTAAAAAGACTGTGCATGCAGCCGGCAGGAACCAGTGGCAAATTATTGCACAGACTACTGGCATAGTTAAACTCGCTCCTGTAAGAAGCAGTGCTGGCCACTAACCTTTAAGTTAAGAGAGTATTGGACAAATTCATGTACAATAAGGCTACAAGCCAAGATGGCTTTGCTCTCAGGCCCTATTTTCCAGGGACAGTTCCAGATTTACAGAAACTGTCCCAGTTTCAGATTTGATCCCAGAATGTCCTGCTTTTTCTTAGGACGCCCCTATAAATGTTGGTGGATGTGGTAAAAAGGTAAAGGTAAAGGGACCCCTGACCATTAGGTCCAGTCGTGACCAACTCTCGGGTTGTGGCGCTCATCTCGCTTTATTGGCTGAGGGAGCCGGCATACAGCTTCCGGGTCATGTGGCCAGCATGACTAAGCCGCTTCTGGCGAACCAGAGTAGCGCACGGAAATGCCGTTTACCTTCCCGCCGGAGCGGTACCTATTTATCTACTTGTACTTTGATGTGCTTTCGAACTGCTAGGTTGGCAGGAGCAGGGACCGAGCAACGGGAGCTCACCCCGTCGTGGGGATTCGAACCGCCGACCTTCTGATCGGCAAGCCCTAGGCTCTGTGGTTTAACCCACAGCACCACCTGCGTCCCTTGTGGTAGGACGTCTCTATTTTCATTGGAGGGTATGGAGTTTTGCATCCCCCAAGCCACTGGGTGGGGTTATCTGGAGGTTTGGAGTACGTTGTCAGCAGTACGCTGATGACACTCAGCTCCATTTCTCCTTTACATCTGCAGGATAGAAATAATAATAATAATAATAATAATAATAATAATAGGATAGGATGCCCCTGTTTTCCGTGGAGAAATGCTGGAGGGCGGGTGCTCAGCCCCCACAGTTGCAAGCAGCAATGCGTCCAAATACCATTTCCTGGAAACGGCTGGAGGGGAGAGTGATATTGTGCTTGGATCCTGCTTGCCAGTTTCCCACCTGCCTGGCCACTGTGAGACCAGGATGGTGCTGGACTGGCTGGGCCACTGAGCTGATCTAACAGGCTTTTCTTTGGTTCTTAGGTTTCAGAAACCAGGGGGGATGTCCTGGCTCAGTCCTTGGCATCTGCAGGTAGGGCTGGCAATGTCCCTGCCTGAAGCCCTAGAATGCTGCTGCCAGTCCGTGTGGAAAACATTGAGCTGGATGGGCTGACTCAGTCCAAGGCAGATCCCTGCCTTCCCTCCTACGTGCTCTTAAGTGAGTCACTGAGGCTTTTCTGTTGCAAGAGATCTGGAATCTCAGCAATAACGAGAACTGAGTGTGCCTTTTTGTAAAGTTAATTCTAGTTTTTCCCCCCTACCCCTATCCACTTATACACAGCTTCTTCCTCTTGGTTTCTTTTTGTCTTTTTTAAAAACTTCATCTGTTTAGTCATTTTCTTAATTAAATATAGATTATAGCTCTGGGACTAAGAGATAGTTATTTATTCATGAACGACTTAGGTTTTAAAGTCGGCACCGTGAATGTATTGTTTTTATGTCTGCTTTGGGACTGTGTGGAAAGCGCTGGGCAAAATCTCTCTGAATCAGGCATGGATCCACTAAGGCCCTCATCCTGTATCAACATATACCTTGCAGGTGGTTAACCCCATTGAACCCATCAGAACTTTCTGCATAGGGAGGCTTAGAATTGCACTGTATGGTGTTTTAAGCAAGCCTAGGGACATTGCTGGATGTTGCTGAGGTTCATGGTCTAAGGCCCATAAGCATCACAGAATCAGAGAATTGTAAAGTTGGAAGGGGCCCTAGGATTCATCTAGTCCACCCCCTGCAATGCAGGAATAAAATCTGCATATGTCAATTTACATGTCTGGATGCATGCAGAATTGGAATTTAAATTTCACAGAAGAAAAGAGAGCTAGCAGACACTCCAAGTGTCTCTATTTTCCAGGGACGTCCCTGAATTAAAGAAGCCGTCCCAGTTTCTGATTTGATCCCTGGAATCTACCGCTTTTCCTTAGGATGTCCCTATTTTCATGGGAAAAATGTTGGAGGGTATGGAGTTATCCAACCCCCTAGCCGTCTGAAGGCAATCCTGTATAGGGACAGATAGTAAAAGAAGCAATTTGTTTATTTTATTTCTTAAAATTTATACACTGTGCCACTCGACTGTAAGAAAAAAACTTAAAAACGGTTTACAAAAGGGGATACTGCAATCAATAGAAATGGTTACGAACGGCTGTTTAAAACATTCCTAAAATAATCAAAAACCGACGATAAGCTAAAACGCACATTGACATTCAACGTGTCTGGGCAGGCTTGCCTAGCCAAAAAATGTTTGCATAAGGAGCCGAAAAGGGTGCAATTGAAGGCACCTGCCTGATGTCACCAGGCAGGGAGTTCCAAAGTTCAGCTGCCGCTGACACATTAAAAGATCGATTTCTTACAAATGTGGAATGGGTATTATGCGACACCGGTAGCAGCGTCAGTTCCATGGTGGATAAGAACTGGAGGAGTGGGGAGAGAGGTCATTTTTCTGGACAGCTGTCATTAGGTAGAAAAATTGGTGTGTGCACACATGCGCATGCATTTCCTAGTTGCACAGAGCTGAAATGCGATGGTGCAGCAGGGGGGCTCTCCCTCACCCCTCCTGGACAACACCAGCTGTGCAATGTTCCCCTTTCCACTCCAAGGTGGATCCCATTATCCAGCTCTGTCCCAAACGCCTCTGTTAGCAGCTGGAGAGTTTTGCATCAGTGGCTTTGTGCTGGGAAGGGAGAATCCCAGAGCCTTACCAAGCTAAGAAGAAAAACCTGGCTGGGGGTTTTAGAGTGCATGCTTTAAAGCTCTCGTTTCCGAAAGAGAAACCACCCTTGGTGGCTGAGACTGATGGTGCCTGTTGTCCAAAGGGCACCAGGTTGGGGAAGGTTGGCAACAGCTGTCCAGGGTTTCAGGCATGGTGTCTCTCCCAGCCTTAACCAGAGACGCCAGGGATTGAACGTGGGGCATTCTGTATGCCAAGCATACATCACTCTTGCCTTTCTTGACCACTGTAGTCCAGGAAAGCAGCTTAAAGGTAAAGGGACCCTGACCATTAGGTCCAGTCGTGACCGACTCTGGGGTTGCAGTGCTCATCTCGCTTTATTGGCCAAGGGGGCCAGCATACAGCTTCCGGGTCATGTGGCCAGCATGACTAAGCCGCTTCTGGCGAAACCAGAGCAGCGCACGGAAACACCATTTACGTTCCCGTCGGAGCGGTACCTCTTTATCTACTTGCACTTTGATGTGCTTTCAAACTGCTAGGTTGGCAGGAGCAGGGACCGAGCAACGGGAGCTCACGCCGTCACGGGGATTTGAACCGCCGACCTTCTGATCGGCAAGTCCTCGGTTCTGTGGTTTAACCCACAGCACCACCCGCGTCCAGGAAAGCAGCTTACAAATGTTTAAATCAAGAATATTGCCCTTCAAAGACAAGCCATTCTGACGTCGATCCAGTTTGCTTACTGACTTCCCCCACCTCCCTTCCTTTAGTGGGCTGGCTTCTTGCCACCTACAATCTGGGAGTTACCAGATAGCTCAGCTGGTTAGAGCATGGTGTTGATAATGCCAGGGTTGCAGGTTTGATCCCCATATGGGGCAGCTGAAAATTCCTGCATTGCTGGGGGTTGTACTCTACAATTGTATGATGTGTGACTTGCGTTCTTGGGCCCCTTCCGTTAGCTAGCAGCATAAAATGCCCTTCTTGATTACTGCGTCAAGAGCCGCCCGATTGCCAATCGCCACTCCTGATGGCCACTTCTTCTCCTTGCCACTCCTGGGTGCTGTCCGATGCCTCAAATGACCACGGTTGCCCTTTATCACTGCAGCCAGAACAAAAGGGGAGAATTAAACGCAACTTGCTTTGCACAGGGTGAAGCCGTCTACAGGCAGACTTGGACTTGTAGATCCATATCGCAGCTCTCGCCAGGGAGCGAAGTCTTTAATTTACTAAAAGCCTTGAGTTACACTGGCCCGACCGGAGTATCACAGCAAGCAATCATGCTCCAGTCCTACTGGGACCCATTATCATCTTGCTCACACTCTCAGCTTCCTTTCCCTCTGATGTTACGAGTTCCTGGTCTGGTGGCTACGCAGGCAAAATATTCTGCGGACACCCTTTTCTGCTCTTCCACAAGTTGCTAATGGACTCAGCAGATGGCCAGATATATTTGCATCCTGTACGCTGCTGCCATTCCTGATTTACATGGGACAGTCGCTGCTGGGAGTTGTTCCCTCCTCCCAGAGCTCCAATTCCCAGAGTGGTTTAACAAACAACCACTCTTCCCAGAGAACTTCCACATTCAAGAGCAGCCTACCACTAAAGATTGCTTGCTGGGCAAAAGGGCTGTTGCTTTTACGGCCTGCTTGCGGGCTTCCCAGAAGCCTTTCGTTGGTGTCTTTATGAAACAGGAAGGTGGAATAGACAGAGCTTTGCTCCAAAACAGGAGGGCTTCTTTTACGTTTCATATGCAAAGCCCAACACCCTCTCCAAACACTGTCTTTACTTTGTGGTCCACAGCCTAGGAAATCCTGGCAGTTCTTAGTCAGTTTTTCTTCATCCAATTATGAGGCAGCCAGAGACAACATCTACATCACCAAGAGGCATTGTCAGTTTATATTCCCCCATATCTTTTTATGTTCTCCATAAACAGCTTTATTATCACTATAAGAAAAGGAAGAACAGAATAGTGACGAGGCCTCTGTTATGCCCAAGAATACAAATGCAAGCTTCGGGAGCCCTGGGAAACAATATTTCCCATGGATCCTGGAGCCTGGGGTGTCACTGCGAGAACACCCTGCAGTGTCCCCATGCTGTTACACCACATTTCCAAGTAGTGTATCGCTAGGATGCCGCAGCAGCCGCAGAAGAGTGCTCATGCTCAATGGGGGGATCCCAACACCTGTTTTCTGAGCTGAGAGTCTGCCAAAAATGGTATGAGGAACGGAAAGCAGAAGGTAGAGGGAAATTTGGGGGCAGCCCTTGAGCCCTCCATAAAGGCAGTGGCGTAGCGTGGGTTGTCAGCACCCGGGGCAAGGCAAGTAATTTGCGCCCCCTAATCCGTGGATTTGCGCCCCCTAACCCGTGGATTTGCACCCCCTAACCCTAACCCCCAGATGTTGCGCCCGGTGCGGCCGGCCCCCCCTGCACCCCCCACGCTACGCCACTGCATAAAGGGACCCCTGACCATTAAGTCCAGTCACGAACGACTCTGGGGTTGCAGCGCTCATCTCGCTTTATTGGCCGAGGGAGCCAGCATACAGCTTCCGGGTTATGTGGCCAGCATGACTAAGCCGCTTCTGGCGAACCAGAGCAGTGCACAGAAACACCGTTTACCTTCCCGCCGGAGCGGTACCTATTGATCTACTTGCACTTCGAGGTGCTTTCGAACTACTAGGTTGGCAGGAGCAGGGACCGAGCAACGGGAGCTCACCCCGTCGCGGGGATTTGAACCACTGACCTTCTGATCGACAAGTCCTAGGCTCTGTGGTTTAACCCACAGCACCACCCGCATCCCTTTGAGCCCTCCATACTCCCCTCCAAACTAGCTTGCATTTTTTTAACGAACTTTTAAAATTTGTTTCAGGCAATGCCATTCCAAACTAAGCGTGGCAAGAGGTCACCCATCACATGTATTGGGGTTTAGTCACAAGTCTCAGCAGGGGAAAATATTCTATCCTGGGCATCTCCCACAGCCCTGACGCCTTCCATCCCAGCTCCTTTTATTGGCGAATTTCCTAAAGGCCATCTCATCGCTTGCATTTGCTGTTTGTACACCTGGCATTCTTGGGGCAAAGAGGACAAAATGCACACTGATGTCATCCTGCCACACCCAATAGGACTACAGGGGTGTAAGTCACAGGTAGAGAACGCCACTCCCCTCCAAGACTCTCTCTCATATCTCATCTCTCTCACCCAGGCCATACCTCCCTGTGGTCCTGTTGACAGGCAGAATGTTGCCAAGTCACTCTTCTCTCAGGCTCAGGCATGCCATCTGCAAAATGGGCATAAAAACACTGACTTCCTTTAAAGGGTCTACTGAAGGGATTGCTGGGAGTAACTGCACGGTGGGCCAGTCCTGTAAGGTGGCAGAATGTAAGGTCCCGTGCAAAGGAGATGTGGACGTCCACTCTTGAATGAAGCACGTTAGAAAATTGGAGGACGGGAACAAGACCATTTGGATGATAAGTGTGGTGTGGAAGGTAGAGTGTTGGGCTGGGAGACCAGCGTTTGAATCCCCACCCTGCCATGAAACTCACTGGGTGACCTTGGGGACCAGTCGCCGCCTCTCCGCTTAACCTACTCCCAGGGTTGTTCTGGGGATTAAATGAGGAGGGGGCAAGAGCCATGTATGCCGCCTTGAGCTCCTTGGAGAAGGTGGGATATAAATCCCATAACTAAAATTCACTCTCAGCACAGTAATTAGGTGTGCATCCATGGAATCTCCTGTGCCCTCAAAAAAAGGTCTTGCTTCTTGGAGCGCTCCTCAATTTCCCAGCCACAAGAAGCCATTCCCAGCTCTGGGGCTCCTCTCAAAAGACTGGAGAGTTTGATGAGCTCTGGAGAAGACAATTAGAAAAGCCCTCCGTGACTCTCATATCCCTGTGAGCTTGGCGAGTTGAGAAGTCTGGGGAGAGGATGATTAGAGACAGGCGGTTGCCAATGCAAAGCAATCAACTCTCCGGAGACGAGATGCAAAGAATATTAGGCAGGCGAGCTCTCACACAGAACAAATCAACAGGCAGGTAAAGCTTCAATGGCCCTCATCCACAGGAAACCAGACACTCTCCTAAAAACGTGCTTAAGTGCTGCCCGGCAACTGGTTATTAAAAGTGCTGCCCGTTCATTCCGAATCCTGCAAGCTCTCTTCTTTTGCATGTGTGGGGAGGGGTTGGACCTTTGGTGGGGGACATGTCATGCTCCTTCTGGGGTAGTTTGTCCACCTCTGGTTCCCACCCAGCACTCAGCTCTCACCTGTGGCTCCTAGAAGCTGTCAGCATGAAACAGCCGCCACAACCTGGGAACACCTTCGCCTGGCTGGCTAAACCAGGTTAGGGTTGCCGATAGGTCTCAAACCCTCCATGAGTTAAGGACTTCCCTTCGTGTGAAGGCAGACTCTGGCAGATTGAGTGGATGAGACCAACAGTGGTTCCAATGGTCAAGAAGGTCTCTGCTGGAGAGGGAAGTGAGGGGCAGATGGGGCTCGCCCACCTGGGAAGGGAGCCCATCTAGGAGAACCTAAACCTCCACTACCTTTGGGATATTTTCAGGAGAAGAAAAAGGCTTTAAAAAGGCCTTTACAAATCCAGAGTGGAGTCTCTAATACAGTTGGATAGTGTCCTGCATTGTTGCTTCCTGAGTGCAAGAGGATGGGGTCAAGCAGGTACAGGAGCTGATTGGCAGCAGGACGGAGGAACAAGCCCAGCAGCCCAGCTGCTGAAGGATGGCAAAGGCATAGAGGCAGCCAACAGGATCCCCTCCAGATGTTTCTGGATTCCAGGTCCCATCTGCCCCAGCCGTTGTTTGTGGGGAGCCTTCAGGAGAAGAAAAGGCTCAGGAGTAAACCCACACAAATCTGGAGTAGAGTCCCTAAGATGGTTGGATGGTGTCTTCCATGCTTCCAGAGCCAATGTGATGTAGTGGTTAAGAGCAGTGGACTCGTAATCTGGTGAATCGGGTTCGTGTCTCCGCTCCTCCACATGCAGCTGCTGGATGACCTTGGGCTAGTCACACTTCTCTGAAGTCTCTCAGCCCCACTCACCTCACAGAGTGTTTGTTGTGGGGGAGGAAGGGAAAGGAGATGGTTAGCCGCTTTGAGACTCCTTCAGGCAGTGATAAAGCAAGATATCAAATCCAAACTCCCCCAATTAACCTCCGTCTCCAGGGCTCAGCCATGCCTAATGACATCAATAGGGGCCGCCCTTAAATATGAGAGTCTGGGATGCTCCTGACCTGGCTGTGTTTCCCTGAACCCACCCAGCCATGCACCCACCCACACCTAACTTTTATCAGCAATGGTGTCAAAGGTGCGCCGGCCACATGTTTGCAAGCATCTTATCCCCATTGCCAGACCTGCGCCCTCCCTGTGCCTCCTCACGCTTGCAGCCCTGACTTCACTTTCTTGCCTCTCCTGTCGATTTTTTTCTTGCCACTAACTGGGGATTAGCGCTCTTCTCCAGATCAATTCCCTTCCAGTGCTCTTTCGGCTATAATTAATGTTTGCTGTATAATTACATTGATTTTTTTTTATGTACTCTGAAAGATGAGAGGAATTTATAGACTGGACCTGGGAAGGGGAGGTGGACAGCAACTGATATTGTGAAGTGCCAGAAGAGGAGCCCCTGGCAGCCGAGGTGCCCTTTGCCAACTAAGTGAGGAGCAAACCATTTTCCTGGAAGTGGCCACTCATTGAAAATCCTGTCCAGGAAGCCCCTTTTCGGTAAGCCTGTCCAAACCAGTCCTGCCTTCTGTCTGCTCTGGGGATGACACTCTACCCATTTCTCATTTTCCCAATCTGAAAAACAACAACAGCATCAGCTTTGGTTCTCCACATTTCCGCCATCAGTTCGTTAATTAATTGTTATTATTTTAAGTCCAGCATTTTAGTGTGAATTTCTTACATCAGGAATTTTTGTATTTTGCACTTTCCTCTTAACAAATCCCATTTCTAGGATTTCCCCTAAAGGCCATGCATTTGTGTGTGTTACTTTTCTCCAATGTGTGCATTTCTATGCACACTTTACCCAAGTATATCAGGTATATGCATGTATATCTTTTATGCATTCCTTGACTGGAGAACCGCATTGCAAAAGTGCAGACTTCAAAGAAAGATTGTGTTTCATAAGAGCATAAGAAGAGCCTGCCACTGGATCAGGCCAATGGCCCATTTAGTCCAGCATCCTGTCCTCGCAGCAGCCAGCCAGATGCCCTAATGGGAATCCAGCAAGCAGGATCCAAGCACAAGGGCCCTCTCCCTGCCTGCAGTTTCCAGCAACTGAAATTCAGAAGCATTAATGCCTCTGACTATACATCATGGCTAACAGCCATGGGCAGCCCTCTCCTCCGTGAATTTGCCTAATCCTCTTTTAAAGCCACCCAAGTTGGTGGCTATCATTGCATCCAGTGGGAGTGAGTTCCATAGTCCCCCACATTGTTTCAGAAAGCGCAAACTAAGCAGGATTGCTGTTAAGTGCGAACTGAATTGAACCCCATGCCCCTTTCCTAGTCTGCTCGTGCCTTCATGCCACAGCCTTCCAGATTTTCCCCAGGCTTCGCCGCTGCTTTCCTAGTTTGCCATGGTTCTTCTGATCAGGTGGTCATCTTGGGAGGGGCAGAGACACTGAAATCCTGTCCCTTTCCCAACAGCTAAAAAAAAAATTATTCTCTCCATGTTCTGGCCTCTGAGCTTTAGGCACCAACTACCTTATGCCACAAGGGATGCGGGTGGTGCTGTGGGTTAAACCACAGAGCATAGGACTTGCTGATCAGAAGGTCGGCGGTTCGAATCCCTGCGACGGGGTGAGCTCCCGTTGCTCAGTCCCTGCTCCTGCCAACCTAGCAGTTCAAAAGCACGCCAAAGTGCAAGTAGATCAATAGGTACCGCTCCGGCGGGAAGGTAAACGGCGTTTCCGTGCGCTGCTCTGGTTCGCCAGAAGCGGCTCAGTCATGCTGGCCACATGACCTGGAAGCTGTACGCCGGCTCCCTCGGCCAATAAAGCGAGATGAGCGCCGCAACCCCAGAGTCGGCCACGACTGGACCTAATGGTCAGGGGTCCCTTTACCTTTTTACCTTATGCCGCAGTCATGAGGACTAATAACATTGGGTTTTTTATATTAAAAACCCCCCAAAATTAAAAGTTCTCACATTCTTTCCCCTCCACCCTGCCCAGACTTTCCTGCAGAATAAGGCCTGGCAGCCCAAGCTACTCATCTTCCAAATATGTGATCTTTCTTTACCTCCCATCTCTGTCAGCCCAGCACAGATTATTTGCTGGCACCATTTGTAATTGTTTGTTGCTCTAATGCATTTAAGGGAGAAATGTCTTTGCATCATTTTCCAATTGCCTTTGGGCTCTTCTTCCTACAAGCCATTGCCACTAACACCGCCTTTTTTTAAAGAATCTTGCATCTCCTTTTGTGTTTTCTGTTAATTACATGCCCTCTGAGTACCGTGATTCATGCGCCGCTCGAGTGGCGCAGTCAAAGACCTCCAAAGCCCCCATCTTGCCATTCTCTAAGCAGAAAGACCAAGACAATCAGGTGCATGAAAAGCAAGCCTTGTCAAGCTCAGGTGTTGCGAAGCAGCCACAGATGTTAAACATTTTTCAATTAAAAACTCCTAAACGAAGGGGGGAAATAATTAGACAAGCTTCCACGACGCGGAGCGCACAAAAGGTTCCAGCGGCACGCTGGACAACCCTCGCCTCGCTGGGTTCCAAAATGCTTTTTGAACAAAAACAAAATGCTTTTTGAGCAAACACTTGGTTAAATGTCTGCAGGGGATGTTTTGCATCAAAAGGCGTTGCATTTAGTCACTGATTTCGGGGAGTGAAAATGCTTTTTGCTTGCCATTTAGGCAGTCGCTGTGTTGTACACAATCTCTCTTCATGCCCCCTCCTCCTACCTGCAAGTCGAGAGTACCTCTGATTTAAGCCAAAGGTGCTTATTGAAGCGAGTTGCGAAGTACTAACCTACCGACCTCGCAGGGTTGTTGCGATGATAAAATGGGGAGGAGGAATACCACGTCTGTCACTTCAAGGTCCTCAGAGAAAGAAGCTGGGGTGTAAAAGGTGGGATATCTCAGTTGGTAGGACATGAGGCTCTTAATCTCAGGGTTGCGGGTTCGATCCCTGCACTGAGCAAAAGAGTTCTGCATTGCAGGGAGTTGGACTAGATGACCCTCGGGGTCCCTTCCAACTATACAATTTTATTATTCATCAGACCATCCATTGCTAGCCCCATGGCTGCTGCCTGCTTTCTTAGGTGCTCCCTTTCTGCACATCTTTTCATTGGCAAGAAAGGAATCTCAACTAAAGGAATCTCAACTAAAGCAGCTGGCTAGCCAACCTGTGCTTAAAAAACTCTTCCTGATGTTTAGTCAGAATCTCCTTTATTGTAACTTGAAGCCATGGGTTCGAGTCCTACCCTCCAGAGCAGGAGAAAACAAGCTTGCTCCATCTTCCATGTGACAGCCCTTGAGATATTTGAAGATGGCCATCATATCTCCTCTTTCTCTCCTCTTTTCCAGGCTAAACATACCTAACTCCCTCAACTGTTCCTCATAAGGTTTGGCTTCCAGGTCCTTTATCACCTTGGTTACCCTCATCTGCATACATTCTAGCTGCTCAATATCCTTCTTAAATTGTGGCACCCAGAACTGGACACAGGACACTGGTCTGAACAAGGCGGAATAAAGTGGTCCCATTACTTCCCTTGATTGGGACACTATACTTTGGTTTGTGCAGCCTAGAATAGTATTAGAGAAAAACAGGGGCCAAGTCCTCCCCATATTTCAGAAGGGAGGTGAGGTTTGCCCCCAATTAATAATAATAATAATAAAGGACCTTTGGGTAATGGGCCATAGGAAGGTATCTCATGCCCCACTCCCATGCTAATAGCATATGATGTGTTTCTGATTCCCCCTCCACCAACACTGGTTTCCAAATCTGGAAATATTTTTTCCTGAAAGCCCCATTCTAGTAGATGGTGGAAGGATCTGTTGTATTATCCTGTGTTGCTGAAGCTAAGCAGGTCACAGTTGCTCAGTGCTTGAGTGGAAGACTTCCCAGGACTCGGTGTCAGCCTTTCTGAGTCGCCCCAACGAAGAACAGAATTTGCAAGGGAGACATTATCACTTCCCACCCCTAAGTATTAAAAACTCTTGCTTTGAAGAACAAGGCTTCTCTCCGTATTAACAAAGAGCTTACCATAGGACATGAGTAGGCAGCCTAAGGCCCGTGGGCCGGATCCGGCCCAATCGCCTTCTCAATCTGGCCCGCGGATGGTCTGGGACTCAGCGTGTTTTTACATAAGTAGAATGTGCCTTTTTATTTAAAATGCATCTCTGGGTTATTTGTGGGGCATAGGAATTCATTCAGTATTTTTTTGCAAAATATAGTCCGGCCCCCCACAAGGTCTGAGGGACAGTGGACCGGCCCCCTGCTGAAAAAGTTTGCTGACCCCTGCCATAGGAGGTTGCCTCATGCCGGCTTTAGCCCAGTTACCCGCTGAGCGCAGTGTTACCTACTTGGGTCTAGGTCAGAGAAGGGTCTTCGCCATCACTTGCTACCTGATCCTTTTCCCTGGATCTGCCTGGGAGTGAGCCTGGAGCCTTTTGCAAGCAACGCACGAGCTTTTTGGGAAGAGAAGTGACATATTTTTTAAAAAATTCAGAGTCCAAACTCTCCCACCAGAACTCTGTGCTGATGATAAGCACGTATAAATATTTAGCAATTTAGAGTATGCAGATCTTGACGCTCCTGCACAGTATGTTCATGTTATTCCTTATGTTGCAGATTGGAGTGGGCTGAAGCCAAGAGAGATGGTGGCTTCACGAATGCTCTTTTCGGTAGTAAAGTGAGCCTTGGGTTTGCACTGAGGTTGCCTGGGCTGCAAGATGGCAGGGGAGGGCTGACGGGACTGAACGCTCCAAGGAAGAAAGGGATGGAGGGATAGGGAGGGAGGGAGGGAGGGAGGAGCAAAAATTCCCTGTGCGTAGAAAATCAGGATGTCGGGGAGATCCTTGATGTGAAGGGGGTGTTGCATGGTTGGCACCCGTCTGTCTTGGCAGAAAATGGAGGAGTGAGTCTTTGGGCGTGAGGACAAGCTGTTGGAAGGTTGCAGCGCCTGTTGCGGCTGCAAAGACCGATGCGAGAGAGACATGTTTTGTTGCAGCTGGGGCAGATGAAGCCATCCGGTTATGCTGGTGCAGATGCACCTTTCTTCTCTCTGCAGTCCTCCCAGTGGTCATTTCTCCTCTGGTCACCGCCATAGCTGTCAACGTTTCCCTTTTTTAAAGGGAAATTCCCTTATTCCGAATAGGATTCCTCACAAGAAAAGGGAAAAGTTGACAGCTATGGTCACTGCTGTGCATGCACGACTTGACTGTCTGTCTCCAGGCACTGCAATAGTCTGCAAGGGATTCCCAGGTGGCAGGGTTGATAATAATAATATAATAATTTATTATTTATACCACGCCCACCTGGCTGGGTTTCCCCCAGCCACTCTGGGCGGCTTCCAACAGAATATTAAAATACAATTGTCTATTAAACACTGAAAGCTTCCCTAAACAGCCTTCATGTCACCTTTTCAGACATCTTTGTAATGTAGAGTTGGTCTGCCAAAGGGCCTGATGCCTGAAGCCAGCTCCCTTCAATCCCAAGTGCCGTGTCCCAAGCACACATTGACCACCTCATCAAAGCCCCATCCACACACTACTTTTAAAGTGCTACAACACCACTTTGACCAACCATGGTTTCCCCCAACAATTCTGGGAGCTGTAATCTGTTAAGGGTTCCCCACACTGAACATTCAGTCTCCAGAGTTTCCACGGAAGAGGGGTTGACTCTTAAATCGCTCTGGGAATTGTAGCTCTGTGAGGGGACCAGGCGGGTCTTCTAACAGCTTTCCAGCTTGCTACTCAGCCTCCCAGCACTAAGCCACGAGGGCCTCTAACTTCTTTGCAGGAATATAACTTCCTTATCGAATGTAAACGACCAGCATCTATCATCTTAATGCTCTATGACTAGCAAAGCAATTGTTGCTGAGATAGCGTGTGCCTGTTATCTCGCCCGCCAAGCTGAATGCCAAGGAATCATCTCTCCCTCTCCCACTCCTCCCTGCAATGGAGAAGATCTCATTTTGCACCACCGTCTTTGCAATTTGGAGGAAGAAAAAAGAATGGGAGAGTCTCATTATGACGCACACCCTTTCCTTATGGGCTCCACCCCACCATCACTCCTGCAAATGAACTGGACAGGGAGAACACTAGTCATCTTTTGAATATATATATATATATATATATATATATATATATATATGCACACAGCTGACAATTTTCAACCTGACAAGAGCTGGCTGCAAATTATAGTAGACCACCTGGGGCACCTGCACTCCTCTACTCCCCTCTCCCAATTAACCTCCATCTCCAGGACCCAGCCTGTGACATGGCTGTGGAATCTCCCCATGATATCACTAGGGGCTTCCCCCATGACATCACCAGGGGTCACCCCTAGATTTTGATCTCAGGGACTGCGATGCTGCTGACCTGGCAACCCTACTGGCGATGGGGTTTCCTGTGAATAGGGACGGACTGACTGTTAAACCACTCTGGGAATTGCAGTTCTTGGAGGGGAATAGAGGCCTCCTAACCACTCCTAACCACCAAGGGATGCGGGTGGCACGGTGGGTAAAACCTCAGTGCCTAGGACTTGCCAATCGCATGGTCGGCGGTTCGAATCCCCGCGGCGGGGTGCGCTCCTGTCGTTCGGTCCCAGCGCCTGCCAACCTAGCAGTTCTAAAGCACCCCCGGGTGCAAGTAGATAAATAGGGACCGCTTACCAGCGGGAAGGTAAACGGCGTTCCGTGTGCTGCGCCGGCTCGCCAGATGCAGCTTGTCACGCTGGCCACGTGACCCGGAAGTGTCTGCGGACAGCGCTGGCTCCCGGTCTCTTGAGCGAGATGAGCGTGCAACCCTAGAGTCTGGCAAGACTGGCCCGTACAGGCAGGGGTACCTTTACCTTTACCTAACCACTCCCAGCACCCTTAACAAACCACAGCTCCCAGAATTCTTTGGGGGAAGCCATGGCTGCTTAAAGTGCTTTCACTGCACTTTCAATGTACGGTGTGACTCTGGCGACATTGAACTAAGTGAGAAGCAGTTAGTCCTGTGGTGCTGTTGTTTTTTAAAAAATGACCGTATTAAAGTGCCTTTTTTAATATTACCAAACTGATTTAGTAACTTGAATAATAATCCGAGGCATATTAAGCTCCTTGTATTTAGAGGGAGTTTTGCTGTGTCACACTGATTTATGATGCCCGCCCACAAGCGCCGCTCCAGTGCCATGGCTTCCTTTCCCCCAAACCACAGAGCTTTTGCTAGAGGCCTCATCTAGGAATATCCTGGAGGACAGGCCGGATGGGCTTTTAACAAGCTCATTTTCTGCAGCCTCTTCTCCCCTCCCCAACCTCCGGAGCCGAGCAATGAAGCTGAAATTGCATTGCTTACGGGGATGGTTGTTGTTTCTTAATTATTCATCATAGTTCCCCTGAACTTTAAATCAAGGCAGTAGAGAGAGAACGCAGCAAGGCAGGCCCAGCTTCTCCCCTCCATCCGCCTCCCTCCCCTTCCCCCTGACCCTCCTCAAAGCCCCCCTCCCCCCTATTTCCACCTGAAGTCTATCGCAGGTGGTAGCACTGAGGTTTGCTTGCTGCCTGCTTATCAGAGGTGGGAACCAGCATCCTCATTTGGGGTCTGGTGGCCATCCCTTGTTTTGCCTTGTCCGTTTCATCTCTGCCCAGGGCTGATGTGCAGCCTCTGCCCTGGCACAGGTTCAATCAGGCATGGCTGTGCTGAGTCAGCTGGCTTAGAAACTTGGCCTTCAGAAGGAACTGCGGTTCTCGTTCTCTCTCTCTCTCTCTCTCTCTCTCTCTCTCTCTCTCTCTCTCTCCAGGAGCCTCAGCCAAGAGCCTATAGATAAATGCAAAGTGAGCAAGACAGTTTTAAATAAAGGATGGCTTCTGGAATTCAGGCATGGTGATCATCTATGGATGCCAAGGCCAGATTAGCTATTATGCTAAGTACACCGTATTACGGCCTATAGTAGGAAGCCTTCCAAAATATCACATGCAGGTCTGTTGCTTT